TACAATAATTTTGAAAATTGTATCCCTTAAGCTGCAGTGCTGAGATATTATTAACTGCTTGAACTGAAAGAGCAGGTCTGATCAACTGCTATAAAGTCTATGGACAGAGACTAATTTCTATTGAACCACATGCTTATCTGAAGCTGTGTTCCACCATTGCAAGCTGCCAACTTTATTTTCTTCCAGAATACACTGCCCATCTTTTTACCATCATCCTCAGTATGCACTGTCACTTCAGCAAATTCATTCCAGGAGCTAAGAATGTGTCTAAGCTTCTGCTAATATGGTTGTCTGAGACAATCACACCCAGGAGACGGGGAGGGAGATCCATCCACTTGTACCTCTTATCTTCCTAAAACAGGTTATTTTCCTCACTAAGCAAGCCTCCAGTCTCTGAAACGCATCTCTGGGATGTATCACAAGATAAGCATATCTATTTCATGGCCAACACATTCTTTATCACTTCTGCTACCACAATTAAGAAATAAAATTATTTGATAATGTGCTGATGCTTTGGTGAATGCACCTTTTACATCGGTTAGTACAATTTTTAAAAACCAAACTGACCTCAGAGCCTAAAATCTTTATAATTGAGAAGATACTGAAAATGATAAATGATACTGCTGCTGGGTGACTATTCTTTGAATGGAAATTCCCAACTAGACAGAAAAACCTTCCCCAGGCACAACACATAAGATACAAGGATAGAGTTCTGGGATAAAAGAAGTGTATTTCCTACACCCGGGAACCTAACAAGTCTGGAATAAAACAGCTAAAATATTACACCACAACCAGGAAAAATAGTAATAAATTGTACTGCCTCATTTTCATTCAGATAATTTAATAGCCTTTATAAACTGAAAGAAATTGTTAAAAAGGAGGTTCTGATTTGCACATCCAAGTTTCTAGATAGTACTGCGTTCACTTTTTCTTTACTAGACAATGTCAAGCTCTCCATGAGGCATTCAAAACTAATGACAATTCACTGTGGCAAATCAATCTCTCTAAGCAGAGAATCTGTTGCTTCTGGCAATGGCATTCAGCTCACTGAGACCTTTGCCTGGCAGGAATTTGAAAACCAAGGTGTGGCTGGTCTCTTCCAAACCTTTTAATGCCTGTCTATCCAACATCCTTTATTTTAGGATGGATCTAAGAAGCAGAAGGAGCCTGTCAGTAAGTGGACACTTGTCCTGAATAAGTGGCTTGGCTGCTTAAAAAACACCATCAAAGGTATTGGCAAAGCAGGATATAATAAGAGTCTGTGAAAATATACAGAGTTCAATGGCGAGTTTCACTGTATTACTTATTGCATTAGCCAGATTAAAGCATAAAAAAGAATAGTATTTCTGTGTCTACTTTCATTACATCCTACCATTTATTAGAGTGACTAGGGCAAGTTAGCAGCCTTTTCCTGTCTCACTCCAACAACAGGAATTCTCTCACATCACAAATTCACAGTACTGAAGATAAGGAAAAGTGCTACGTTTGGAGTTTTCCACTTAGACTGATGAATATTCTGAGTATTTTTAAGTGCTTAAACTGAAGAGATAAATGTTTTGGAATCAGTTTCTCTAAATTATAGCTTAATTAGATCAAAAGAAGAAGTCCACAATTTCAAAGGATAAAGCCTGAATCTAGCTAGAAGTGTGATCAGGTATCAACATGCAGCAGCTTAAAACAAGTTATGCAAGCTAACTGTAATATGTGTGAATATCAGGTTTCTAATGCAGAAATGTGTATTTTTCAATATACTTTTCTGAGCAGAAATCATATGTCATTTATATGCAAATCAGACTATATTCTGCAACTGATTCTTCAGTGCAGAAGCCATGGGAATTATTTGCACTTAATAAAGCCTCATAAATAGGTTTTGCCTCTAAGTGGGTGGGGGAACAGCAAATATATCATAGCCATTTACAGTTACAAGCGTCTTCTTATTTTGAAAGTTATATGCATCCTTTAATAGGAAGTTTCACAGTTACAAAAGAAACATTGTTTTCTTTATATAAACAAAATACCCTTACAGCCTTCAAAACAAAATGTTTTGCCTTATTCCCTATGCTCAGCTATCTAAAATATAGAAATTGTCATCTAGCTTCAGTCAAAAAGACATGCTAGTTCCATGCAGTATATATTAAATACAGAAAGAAATTAATTGTTATTATATCTAGGCAATTTTGTATTTGAAAGGACATATACCTTTCAAGTATGTCCACCCAGTACCATCTATTGCATTTTTGCAAAACATGTTAACATCTTCACACACCACCAATTAGATGTGCCCCTCAAGTCCTGGCACATGGAAATAATCCATTTAAAAAGCACAAGAGAACAGACTTGAGACCACTCAAAGCACATTCCCCAAAGTGTAGTGAAAGTGTAGTGTTTCAGCATGGTAAGTAGCACACTAAAGCAAGCTGGGAAACAACACTTCCTAACTGGTATAAACAGTCTGGACTGGGACTCCTGTTAAGGGCAGGAATGCAAGTCAACAGTAGCACATCTTTTCCAGTCTCTTCACAGCCAGAGGGAAGAGCAACAGTGACAAGCATTGCCTAGAGAGACAAAAGTGCTTAGCAATGCTCTCCTTATCCCAGCCCATTCTATCTGAAACAACCATCCAGGGCACATGGAGACCAGGAGTTAGAACACTGGGAGAAAGTGAAGACTTAAACTGATACAATTTGATGTCACACAGATTTCGAGAACAAATACAGAAGCATGGCTAAGCCAGGTTTATCTCAACTGAACAGTGGCAGCCAATAAACACCTGCCCTTTTTCTATCTGATTGTTTTCAGTCAAGCAGAAATTAATCACTGAAAGCACTGTATGTGCCTCAGTTAATTCTCATGGAAGTCTTCCAAAAATTCAGTGTGTTATTAGGCCTCTGCAGGAAGAGAATTTTGCCCTGATTAGTACCTTCTTTTCTATTTCCTTGTTAAGCAAAGGAGCTTGGAAAAAAACCTAGGCATTCACAGATCTCATTTCAGAAATATAATTAAAGATTCTGGTAGTAAAACAATTGACAAGATACAACTCTTTTGCTCATCTACATAACGTGCAGTCAGGGTTACATAAAAAGCTAATGTAAGACACCCCTTTTTTCAGAAGAGGTACTATCGATACTGTCATAATGATGCATTAGAATGGTATAATTTGTGCTCTGCAAAATGACTGATTTCAAATATTTTGGGTACATTGGTTTCATACAGTGACTTCTGTTAATTCTTTATCATTATTCTGACTGCCTTTAAGAGCACCAACTTTTATACATCACATAACTATTCTGTGAAGGTATATCTAAGTAAAAATACACCCAAATAACAAGAGTCCTACTTGTTGCAACTGCTCTTATTTTAACTATTACTGTAATGCTTAACTCATGAAAATCTTCACATACAGGAATAAAAGCTACATAATTAAAATATGCTCATGACATGCACCACACAAGGAAAATTATGTTACAATACATTTTCAGTATTCTGTATGCTGAATCTTACCTTATACAGAAATATGTCTGGCAACATGTTTAAACACTATACTTATTTTCCCACTATTTTTGAAGATTATGGGTTTTGAGTGCATATTGCATTTTCTTCAGGCACAGATATGGTTGACCTCAGTTTTTATTTTGAAATCAATATGTGTGATAGGACAAGGAAGCATATAAGGAAGTTGAAGTTAAATTAAAAGCAGGTATAAGCATGTATTTTATTATGGAGAATCACACAAGTAAGATAGTAAAATCTGACTTCTCATCACATTGAATTTTCTTTCACTATTTTGTTATAGGAAACGTATTTTTTATAATGTAAATTTTGTAGAATCATCCCCAGACTAAAGCTGTGGCATCCTGCTGTATCCCCAAAGAATTACTTACACAATCCCATTGATTGAAATTCAAGCCACTCATTTAATGTTTCAACTCTACGTAGAATTAAAATAAGGATCAGTTTAGACTCTAACAATGTTTTTATGTACTTTAGTTTCTATTTTACTCATTGTTAGTAGCTTAGTGAAAATGTCTGAAGATGCCCTGTTGAATTTGTCTTTCTGAACATTTGGTCAGTACCTGAAATGAAGCACAGCCATCTTTTGCCCTTTTATTCACCTTAGGAAAGTTAGATCCTTAAATGGATAAAGGAATTCAGTGTCTCACATGCACAAGCAAGGCAATGCTCAGTGAACCTGTCTGTGTTATTACAGCACACCAACTTCTCCATGTCATTCTCATCACAGGTGATTTGGAGAGTTCCACCAGAGAGCAATTCAGCCCATTTACAATCTGAAATATCTTCTGACAGTGTCTGCCTCGTTCTAGTGACTAGACAGGGAGTCCAGGTGAACTAAGTTTATCTCTTAATGGAATTCAATTAAACAATGGCAATTACAGCTCTCCATAGCTATGTCAACACTTACCTTCTGGGGAGTGACCTGGGGTTTTGGTCCCCTGGTCATTTATATGAGGCATCTTTTGAGAAACACCACTGTATCTGCCTGGAGCCATCTGTTTCCCATGAAAATCAGAAGATTGTGATGGACAGGAGATAAAATCTGCATTCTTAAATGTTACCCTGACACAGAACTGGAAGGTGTACATGACTAGGACGGCAGGGCTAAATGTAGCAGTAGTATAGCAATTCTGGGTTACATCAGCTTGGAAGCTTAATTTTTAAAAAATCTGACAAAAAGAGATCAGATATACTAATAACTTTGAGATGTAATAAAATACTTGATGTGTAGAAAAGTGAATTAAGCTCGGGCCTGCTGGCATTTGCATAGTCAAAAAGATATTGAGGGGTGAGGATTGAGGCTGCTTAGATTAGTCCATTCTTTCATCCAGAGAAAGAGTCATATTAAGTCAAAAGCATAAGGAAACACTGGAGTCAAGCAAAATGTTATTAGTTGAGAAAATTACAATCTGGTAGTGCAGCAAAACATGGCTGCATTTAGTTGTACCGCAAACAATGTTGAAAGAACAGACAGCTAATGTTCCACATGTGATTGTAACATTTTAATTCCTCACATTTTGAATAATTAACAGTAAAAATTAACATTCTCTTGGATTTTTGACAATATCATATATTCTACTAACTACTGAACTTGCAAGGTCTGCTATTCAAACACTAAAGCTACAAAAAGATATCCAAATCCAATGCCTGGTGACTAAATCTGTATTAGGACACATGAATGTTAATTTTATGACCTTGGGTATGAAACTGAACAGGCAAGAGAGTTTTAGAGTATTTTTACAGACATTTTATAACTGGTTTGCTGAGAATCTAGAAACATACCTGCTTAAGTTGCACTTTTTTATTAACACATTCATAGCACTGTCAAAAGGAATATCTAGAATCTAGGATAGTCTATCATTCTATTACTTCTATTTATAAATCTAATTATTTTATAGAATCAACACTATGAAAAATTCAGCTTTAGAGAAACTGAAAGAAAAACCCAAAAAACATTAAAAAATTTCCAAGGAAATAGTCTTTCATTCACTAAAGGATTATTTGAGAAGCAGGACATGTTACTACAAACACTGAATACTTTACTTTCTCCAGTGGGATTTTCTCTTATCTATAAAAGTACCCTCAAACTATGAGCTATTCTCCTTTGAGAGCTTTCAATATTTTTCTTTATAATCCTTAAAACAGCAAGGTAAACAAAAAGTACTTTTAATACTTGTAAAACAAGAAGTTATTCTTATATTCTATAAATTCTACAACAAAACTAGTGTCTAATTTATTATATATTCTATGCAGCAATCCAGCTATTAATAAACAGGTATACAACAGAAATCACATTCTCTTGACTGAAGCCTTCACTGTAAAATTGACTGTAATTCTTTCCCCAGCACTTACAATGTATTTTGTTTACATGTTTCACAAAATACCATCAAATATTCCAAGAAAGGGCCTGACATCATTGGTTTCATCATCAAGAAGAAATCTAAAGAAGATTAAGCAAACAAACAAATTAGGTATAGCCCATCAAAACCTATGGGATCAGGAACAGTGTACAGAATCAAGAGAAACCAAGACAAGCAATATAATTTTAAGTAATGTCTCTTAAGAAAAATTAATTGCTATTATTATTGTGAAAACAGAACTTTTTAGCAATGAATATTAGAAACAAACACATTGCTTAAAAGTCTATGTTCCATGAAGAACTAAGCACTGGAACACCGAATAAACAGAAAAACAGTTTTTCTTACCTAGGATCTACTTCTTTTTCCTGTTCTTTTGTGAAAATAAAAAAATCTTCTTTCCTAGTGGATTTAGAAGAGTCTGAGATTATTTCTGGGATGGAAGAACTCTGTACATTTTTTTGCTCTTGAGAAGGACTTGAATGTGTTTTTTCATGAAAACTGAACTGCAACACAAAAGTTTAAAAGAAAGTATATATGGTTAAACCAACTGAAACTCCCAGATTATTGTAGAATGTAGTACTGGTATTTAATTGATATTATAGTGTTTGACAAGGACTGAGCATGTGATGATTCTAGCTATATACTGGACAGAAAAACAGTCAAATTGAGTAAATACTTTTGAGCTCATGCTATATAAAGTAAATTCATATCCTATTTTTTTGTATCAGGAATATCCCACTGAACACAGAATGATTTTGACAATTCAAAATTCATGATATCCTAATTGATTCATAAGTCAGAAATGGCAGATATATTTACTCAATAAGTATTCTAATCATATATCAATATATTTTTACTCACCAAAGTTAAATTTCTATTCTGTACAGAGAAATTCACTTTTGATGTGCTGTTGACCACAGAAACATCTGAGTTCTGACTATTGGTCTCATCTTGTACTGTGCATGAACTGAAAATACCAAGTTGAATAATTTCAGTATTTTTATAGAAGGGAAAAAATATTTGCTGTTCAGTTCAGGATTTTCTACTTATTTCCCTGCACACTTAAATAAAAACCAAATTTAAATAATTCAATAATTCATATCTTTTAAACATGAAATTTCACTCACTTTTGAGTGAACAACCTTCTACATATTTAATTACACAGATATATGTGAAATACAGACAATATTTTAAACTGAATAAAACAGTAGTAAATTATCTAAGTCTTACACTTTTGAAATGTTATTTGTGCCTTTGCTTGTTGTATACTGGCAGAGGGGTTGACATTCATCTGCACTTTGAAGGCAGGTATTTCCATGTTCTGTGAAAGAATGAAAGTTTTAAAAAGAGGGTTGAGAAGTAGCCATAACTCCTTCTAAATATTTCCAATGTTATGATAAATAACACTTTGAAAATTATGAAAGTGTCTTAACACTTCAAATATTTCTTCTTTGGGCTTTGGGCTAATATAAAAATAAGCAGAGATATACAGTCAGTATACATTATGCAACAATGATTATGCAGTTGCAGGCCATCAAAACATTTTAATTGTGAGTTTTTCAACTCTTCCTTCTGTATTGGATTTGTCACAATATATGTGACATTCAAGGTAGAATAATAAACCTGTCAGTCTAGTCAATTAACCACAAATTTCAGGTGGTTCTATTCATTGTATACTATAATAATTTATTCTCAAGTAATAGCCAGAAGAATAATTTGTAGGAAAGAAAAAAGTTTGTTGGAATAACCTTACCTAATTCTCTATTGACAAAATTACTGGCAAATACCAATTTATCATCATCAATATCATCCCAAATGTCATTTCTCAGTTCAAAGTCCACATTCAAAGCATCTGAAAAGCCGTATCTGCTTTTATCTGTAGCAGAAAAATATGAAGTATTAATTTAAAGACCAAACCAGTGAACACTGTAATTTTAAATATTAGCAATAACTTAATTACTCTTTCCACAATTCCAGGATTGCAGTTGTTGCTGAGCTACTTCTAAAGTATTAATATTATCTGCCTGATCCACTGAAGGTGATGAAGATGACAGTTTATTGCTAGACCTAGTAAAATAAAAAAAAATCAGTGACATGTTTGTAAAACAGTTGCAGAAAGTTGCAAAATAATTTTATTCACAAAACAATTCTTAGTAGTACCTTGGCAAGGCTGGCAATAAAGACTTAGGTGTAAATACAAATTGTTTGAGATCCACATTTTCAGCTTGACTTAACATCTGCATCTAAAGGAAGCAATATATCTTAACTCATAAGATAAAAAAAAATAGTTCTTATTATGTTTATAACAAGCTTACTAATATCATTAATATTGTAAGTTTGCATAATATTTACAAGTCATAAAACCTTTCTGATCTCTATCTAATGCACTCAATTAAAAAGGTTTGAATTATGTGCTTCTAGTGGAGGTATCCAAGCACCCTGGCAATTCCACACTGGTTGACTCTCATCTGTCTTAGCTGTAGGCTAAATAATCCTCTACTGCAAACAAACAAGCAAACAAAACTTTGAGGTGGAAATAAATCCTTCCAATACCTCAAATGTCATTCTTACTGCAGAAAGACCTAGTTTAACACTACATTCAGAGGAATGAAGTGCAAGCTATGAAATGTTTCAGAAGTTTAAAACTAATAGGGATGGTTTTCTTATAAACAAGTGGATCTACTTGACAGTGAAAAAAGGACTCTTAGTAGCATGACTCATAAATAACACAATTTGTTTCATTCAGGTCATATTTTGCCAAACCAAGTCACAGTGCAGTACCTTCCAACAATGCCTCTGAACCTCACCAACCACACCTATCAAATGCTTTAAAAGCAAAAATATAGAGGATGTGCACAGAAGTGGACCAATGGAAATGCTCCAAAGAACAGTAGAACCTCTCAAAGATTCCTGGACCTTTGTACTTCTTTACTTTTTGCACTCCACACAGAAAAGTCAAACTTGAATGTTCATATTCAGTGATAAAATTCTCTCTGCAAATAATGTCTACAAATATGTAACAGATTAAAATAAACCTATGAAATGGCTGACTGCATTCAAGTGAACCTTTAGACGTTTTACTGGGGGTATAGATGAAACTGAGTTCCTGCTCCTTAAATCAGCTAGGTACAAAGAAAACGTTGTGTCTCCATTCATCTGTGACTTTGGAGGTACTCCAGTTTTACCTGCGAAAATGAAGCAAAATAATCTTTAGATTAGTTATAAGGGATAAATCCTAATTATTTCCAAATTACTTTGAAAAACTTTGCCACTAAGCTTTATATCTTCTGTTGAAAGATTCTAAAAGATTTAGCTAACTACAAGATCTAACATAGTATTTATATAAAAGTATAACAAGTCTGACATTTTTAAAAATCATATGCTAAGTATGAAAGGTATTATTAATCATTGTAGTGCCTATAAAAGTGCTAATACCAAAGCTACTTGTAATTGCCTTTATGACTGCATCATGACACCTCAGGCCCCATTCTCTTGCTTCTATTGTTTCTGTTAACATAGCCATTGGTATGATGTGAGCTGTTCTAAATTACATTTCTCTAAAAGTATCAGAAGTAGTAGATTTAATGAAACTCACAGCAATCATGCCCACACACATCTTTATTTTTACAGCGGTGGTTGCATTCTCTGTTTCCATATTTCTTGTAAGCAATCTCCTGTTTAGATCTGCCTCCTAGACAAATATAATACAGAAATTCAACCAGTAATATTGAATACCAAACACCCATGATTTTTCTTACTTTCAAAATCATCAAAGAATTGCAGTGTAGTACTTTACAAGTAGAAGCAGCAGAGTTGTATTTTTATTACCTTTGAGAAAGAAACAGCAGGGATAAATAAAGATCTAGTTCCCTAGTGAAAGCAAAATTCAAATTTCTGTTGACTTTAATATTAACCAGATACTGTGATCTGACCATTTACCTGTATCTACTTTTGCTGTTGGCAAGCTTTGGGGTGAGCCATAACATGTATCAAGTGTAGATTCGGCTTTCAATTTTTGATTTGTAACCACCTTACGTCCCTCTGGTTTTGGTGCTAAGTAGAAGGCTGTATATGCTCGCTGTATATCAAGGCCAACTTGGAAAATAAAAAGGCAAAAATATTAAAATTGCTTTAAACTGTTTCTATACTACAATTATCTGCAGTTTTCTAAAGTGTTTAGGCAAGTAAATGTTACTCAAAGATCATGGAAATTTTTTAAGATCATTTGCGCTTAAAGCACACTCTTGTATGACCAGATTATTTAGGTTTGAGATTAAAAACCCCAAACATTTTTTAGGATTAAAGACATAGTCACTAGAAGAAAAACAAAATTAGTTACCAAAGTGGAGATGAACCATATCCAACACCTCTTTACTACAACAAAACCTAACCATTCACAAAGACAGCCCTGCTCAGGATAAATAACCTGTCAGGCTGATAGGGTATCCCTACTGACAGTTAACTCACTTGACAGAGAAGGACAAAAGAAAATCCCAGTCTGTATCAACAGACCAAACACTGTCTCCTAGTAACAGTTTGATGCTTCCCAATTCCTTAATGTGATAGTAAAATAAAGAAACAGATAAGTAATTGTGAGAGGTAGTATGCAACCCAGCAAAATACACATTATTGAGGTTTGTTTCGAGACCAGCTCACTTTATTATACTTTGGCTTAATAGAAAGTGTTTTAGTAATTTGTTCCTAATTTGTTCCAAAATCTTATGCATATTGTTTTTTAATTCAAAGAATACCTTAACCTACCATAATCAGAACTAATTAAATTTATACTGATATCTTCTGATTTAAGAGCTCTTTTAACTTCAATTTTCTTCATCCAATTTCCAGTTTTCAGGAGCACAGAATCCCTGTAATGCATCAGCAAAGTTGTTAGACAAGGACAATGAAAACATGACTGCACACTATAGTACCTGTAACCAAGTGAAACAGCCTGTATTTGGTCCTAAGTTCTTTAGTTTTGCTTGATAATTGGCCAAGAAGAACTTTTCAATGATGTATGATTTATGGCCATAAGAGGGCCAGGATCCTGCAGATCAGTTTCAATTTTGCCAAAAATGCCAGATTTCAGCCAGAATTCTCATAAATGTCAAGCAGTTAGAAAAGATTTTGTTTCTCTTTTCTCATTTGTTCCAAGCATCTCTTAGCCAACTGGAGAATTAAAATCCATCTCTGAGGGAAAAAAAAAATAAATGAAGAAATAATAGCTAACAGGAGTAAGTAACAACTGGTTTATCTATCCTTTTAATAGGTATTTTACTTGTTTTCTATTTATGGAAAAATTATTATGACTTTTCCATAATATGACATTGATGTTGAACAGTTATTTACACGTGCTCTCTTCGCTGACAAGCACACTGGCATGTTTTGGGGGTTTCTGAATCTTGTGTAGCATTTTTAAATGACACTGATGCCTAATGTGCTATTAGGCATCAGTGGGAAGTATTTAAAATCTGCAAGTCACAGAACAGATGAAAAGCCAGCACCATAAAACTATGTAAGTCAAAGAACCCTGATCATACGTACATAATTTTCTGATTAAAAATGACTTGGTTGTCAGCATCTCCTATGACCAACGAAACATAGTGAAAGTCCGGCGCTGTTCTCTTTGTCTGGAGCTGCTCATAGTTTGTTAATTTGACAGTTACTAAGATTTCAGCCGATGTGTCACTGTACTTGGGAAGCTGGGGAAAATAATACAGAAGACATAACTGCTAAAGTATGCAAAGTAAAATATATGCCCTTCCATAAATTTCTATCTGTTGATACAAGCACAAAAATTCAACTCAAGCAATTTGAATTTGTGGTACAATTTTATTTGTTCTTCTGAGACACTGATTTTCAGTACTAGCTTGGCCATAAGCTGAATATCCTAAGTTTGATTCAGTACTGAGAATCCAGGACAAATGCAAGGAGAAATATGGAAGAATAAGACTTGTTATATAGAAGTTATATTTTGGCATCACAATATTCCTCTAGAATATATTTATAACTGTTAAATCTCCATTCTGAGAATTGAGTATTGAGTAATACTCATCTGGTATTATGTCAAATGAAAAGTAAATTAGAACGAATTGTTATACCAATAGAATTTCACACATCTATTGAGCTTTTAACTTCAAATGTGTCTTCATGTCTACCAGCTTTAGGGTTACTTTTCAAATTTTGATATTAGAAAGCTAGAGTGTCTTTGGCATCCATATAAAGACAAAATGCAAATCAGAACCTCAAAGCTCTTGATTACACATAGAATTTTACCCGTCCTTTGAAAGGGCACCAACTAGGTTAATGTAATAATTTACTGTTTCCCTATATTCCTAAGCATGCTGTAGAAAATAAACATGCATTAATACCATTTCAGTAAGCTGTATTTGGATGTTTTGCTATCTCTAGGGTTTGTTTAAATTAAAGATAGAAAAGACGTCTCAGACTCACATATAATGCTAGAATGTGAATATACTGGTATACATCTGTAACATAAAATGCTATCAACGAGATAGGCCAATATATAATGGGGAATGTCTGTTCCAAGGCTCTCCTTTGAGATTTAGAAGTTTCATTCTATCTGCTAAGCTGGAAGGAGGTCACAATATTGTGTGATCTTCTATCCGTGAAGACTCAGAATTGCTTTAAGTAAGTACTTGCTTTTTCATTTAATAATACCAGCACAAAAACATAAAATAAATATAAAAGAATGTACCTGTTCAATTTCAAGTTCATACTTTGGAAGATGCAAAACAGACTCCTTTATCTGGTTTCCAAAAGGAGGATGTCTGTTTAAGATCTGCAAAGACGTAAATCCAAGGAATCAAAGTCACCTGAGTAATTATGTTAGCAACAAAAGCCCCTTTCTCTTGGTTCTCTACTGTCACTGATGCCTAGAATAGCAACATTACCAAAAGAAAATTCCAACACTTTTACATGTTGCTACTGCTTCTGTTCAGTAAACAGCCAATCCACTACCAATGACTACTCAGGTTTTATATTAAATGACTCTTCTATGCTGTATAAGCTTTAACTAAAACAGAACAAATGACAAGGAAAAACACAAAAGGAGCCAGAAATGAGAAATCAAATTTCCAAAGTCAAAACAGAAAAACCCAAGTAAGACTTAGAAGTCTGTTATATCTTCCAGAACGCTAGAAAGAAGAGTTTCCACAGAAAAGAAGCCAAAAGCCACAGAATCAGTCCTAGGGTAACACTTACCTTTCCTAAAATAAGAAGTGCTTTACAGATGATATAGAAGATTTTTATTCTACTCCTCTCTCAAACTTGCAAAAATGGAAGTTTGGGATTTTCATAACTAAGATACACTAAGAGAAACTGTAAATACATATTCCCTTTTATAGTTTTCCAACACTCCTATTGGAGAAGTGCATATTGTCCTTTGTTTCAAACCATGTCAATGATGAAACTCTACATATTTAAGCATCTGCTTTCCACAGCCAGCCAAATCAGTGAAATCATAATTCGCATTAAATTTGCTACAACAAAACATCATACACATTTTCAAGGAAAACTAGCAGTAGCTACACAGTTTTTTAATTCTACTAGTTAAAATGAAAAAAATCACCTAAACATCTAAATTTTGCTATAATCATACAGCAAATATATAATAACTATACTGCTTTTACTGGTAACAGTACTAATCCTCAGCATTTTCCCTATCATATTTATCTATGTACAAAATAATAAGTTACCAATTCAAGCTCCCTTGCATTTATGTCTTCAATTTTTTTAAATGATGTCAGCCCAGCATTTACCATAGCATTTGACAATGATACACCTGTAAAAAACATGTATACAAGTTTTATGCTGTTAAAGGACAATGAATAACCTCAAATTATTCTAACAGCTGCATTACAAAATCCAAAGCATAAATAATTATGTTACATTTGATGCAGCTTTCTGCCCAGCAAATCACTAAATTCATTTTCATTTAAGTATTTCAGTATTAATTAATTTCTCCATTAGTAAAAAGAAAAAGAAATGCAATACAAACCAAACATGAAAATACACAATATTTCAATTATGACAACTTTTGCATTTTCTACAGTAGAACAGATTTTAGATCACTTTCTGCAGGAGTCAAGAAATGTGTCCTGTATATATATGATAAAAAAGCATGCTGTGCAGTATTCTTTGTCTCAGAATTTTTTTCCTATTCAAGAAATTATTTAATTATGTTTAAATCATAAAGACTTCAATGTTTTTGAGCAAGTTAATAATAAAATTCACCGAAAAAGAAGTATTTATTATAATCTTCTACAAGTCATTCCAGAGTTAGCAAAAAACTTTCCCATGACATGTAAGCCACAAAAGCAGAGAATTCCACATACACTTCTCTTCATGATTCACAGTACTTCCAGTGAGATTTAGAGCTATCACAGCATATGAAAGGTATTTAACTCACCTAGCATTGCAGCCTTTTATAATAACTGCAATGACTGTAGGTAAAAAATAGTACCAAATACTTAGAATGAGTATTTGGATCCTTCTCACACAGTTCTGCTAAACAGTGTAAGAAATCTGAAAATTAAGTGGGCAACCTCTTTAGATACTTTTAGGTTGCTTCTTGGAAGACATTACAGTAATCTTATAATAAAAGACTTAGCTCAAGAATTTAATAATTTAGAGAAACAGAAGACCTTTTGTCTTTTTATGTGTATTTAAACATCTTTTGGGTCTAACTTAGGGAAAACATCTTTTACCATCTTCCTGCTCCTTTGCAGAAGCTCTGCTGCCTGAATACTGAAAACTCTCACATATTACTTCTGCTGCTAGAGCTGCTGCCCTGTTTCTTTATAACTGAAGCTCAAGATTAACTATTTTATCCTAATTTCTAAAATGGTAGAAGGATTTCTGCCAGTGAAGAGAATACCAGATATAAGTAAAACTTTTTCTCTTTATTTTCATCTACACTTCTGAGCAAAAAAAATGGGGGTGGAAATAAAATTGAACAAATAGTAAATGTCATAAATCCTGTATCACAACTAATCATTATCCTGCCTGTCAGAACAAGCAAACAGAAATCAAACCTGCCATTCAGCAACAAGAGGGAGCATCATTACTGGACAAGAGTTGTAGAAATGCAGTAAGAATTCAACTGAAATATCAGTCTCAGTAAGGCCAATTGTCAGTCAAAGAACAGTAACTCTTATACTGGAAATACTAACTAATAAGGCATTTTAAAGGTTCGAAAATAGCACATTGAGCTAAGAGTTTCAAAATTAAGGATTTCTGAATATGCTACATGGTATCAGCAGATTTCTAGGAACTTTATTCATTTAACTTCAGAAAGAAACAGAAGAAGATTAGCAGCCATAGGCAGAGGTTATAAATCACGTCAAACTACAGGCATCAATTCAGTGTTTGATTCAGGAGAAGAGTGAACTGTCAGAAGAATGTTCAAAAGAAGCTTGTGAGGGGAACAAATGACACTTTGGAAGATAGCAGTTCTTTGTAACATATGCTACAAAAGCTATGACAGCATAAAAAAAGTACCCAAGAAAAGGAAAATTGGACAGAGATGTTTGTATATACACCTCTTATTAAAAAACTAAATGTGACTTTATTCTACTGAATATAGTGTACAGGGAAGGATTTGTCTACACTGCAAGTGCCATATTTATCCCACTCAGCCTCACTCCACAGAAGTGCTGAACATGAGGCAGATTCCTCAGATGATTGTGTTGACATTGCCACAGGTGTGGGATAGTGGAAATGTGTTCCCAGCACTATGCACTGTGCTGTGCAGAGGCTAACAACCCCTGCCCTTGCTTTGAATTCACATGAATGAAGCATTACAGCCTCTGCCCTAGAGCAGGCAAGGCTGTAAGGTACTGTACCCGATGGACCTCTGGGTTTAGCCATTCTCTAATTTACAGATCTTTGTACTACACTGTTCAGTGCAGAGCTGATGTGTCTCTAAAGAAGAAATACAGAGAATGCTGCAGTGAATTTTGAAAGCATGAAGGTATGATAAGACCAGACATCAAAGCAGGAAGATACACTACTACCTCAAAAAAAGTACGACTACATTTTTATAAAACAGAGGACTCAAAAATTTCTGAACTCCTTTTCAAATAATTATGATAAGCCTGTACTTCCAGCTAGAAGTTCATTCAATATCAGGATACAGTGAAAGGAGGATCATTATAAACTTTTGATCATCATGTGTATAAGAACCTCATGCATAATAAATTGATTTCTATTTCATGATTCCTATCCTTTTCAATGTGAATTAAAAGGTTTTAATGTATACAGGTAAGAAAACCTACAGCAACAGATGCCTGGAAAGGAAGGCATAGCCTAGTGAGGGACATGCAATTACATCAATGTGGAATACGTCTGGGATACTGAAAGGAACACTAAGGAATAAGAACAATTCTGAAATATTTTGAAAGCCTTAAGAAATTACTAAACAGCTTGCTTTTGTTATGGCAGATTCTTTTGACAACTCTGGTACTCAATTGTGGCAAATAAGTAATTAGCAGACTAATTCAATTATGTACGTAGATACCACAGAAATTGGCAGGCTAATTATGATTTTTGATTCTCTGTCAAGATTACACTTATATAACTTCTAACTAGTACCTACCAATTTTTTCCAATTGTTTAGACACATGAAGTGAATTTTCCCAGAGTCTACACCTGAAACACTTTGCTAAAATCAAGGAGTTTAATAAAGCAGAGAAGTTGTTCTTAGATGATGACAGAAAGTCAGAGAGCCCTGTAAAAAGAAGATTGACTTATGTTAATAAACTAAAATGTAGCTTATTAGGGTATGTACCAAAAAAAAAAGAATTAAATTTTACCATACATCTAGTAACTCTCAAGCCATTTCTAAATATTCTGCCAGTATCTTGTGTCAGAGTGAAGTCTTGAATAGGAATACATCCCAGCTGAGCCTGAATGAGACTGGAAAAAGAATGAGTTTGTAAACAAAGAAAAACATAAAAGTTTTTAATGGGGTAAAAAAGGAAATTCAGAATAGAAACAACAAAATACAAGATCTGGACCTCTGCAAAATGACAAAAAATTTACCAGGGACTTCAACAGCTATAAAATGGCAGCTCTCCAATAAAAAAATAAAAAGGCAATATAATATTTACCAGTTTACTTTCATTTCTCTTGTTTTTATCTTCCCCTCCATTGGAAACCTATGCATGAAAACATACATATTTTCTACAATTCATCTTATTTATTGTTAAAAAAGTATTTTCAATTTTCAATGTATTTTTAAAATACCTGATAGTTATTTTGTCTTTGTCTTTATTCAAAGCGTTCAATATTTTCTTTTCATTTGTTCTTAACTTCACATCCACAAATTCTGTGCAGCTGGAGATCATTGTAATCTGTAGTAATTAAAGTTTTTTAGCAATTGTTCTAATTCGCCATTTTTTCTATCACTTCTTCTAACTTTTTTTAAAAACACTTCAAAACAATTTATTGCCTCAACAGTATAACCATGAAGACACAATCCACCAGTTCTTTTTAATGCTGACCAACTTTCTTCTTCCTATAAAGGCTATTAATGAAAGGGGAAAATTTTTCTTTCAGCTTTTAGATTACTATTTCAGTTGAGGTTTTTTAAAATCAACCACACACATTGCTAACACTTTATACAAGGCAAATACAAACAACTTTTTCCGTTATGTATTTCACCTTGCTTTCTTCACACTTAATTAACAAAGATAGTCACAGGAGAACAAGCATTCCATTTTTCACAGCAAATCTGTTTTACCACAGTATTTGTTTGAAAACAAAATGTCTTGTAATTCAGATAACAGCCTGTTACCTGAAAGAGGAAAGTTGCCTAAAACAGAAAGACAATTCCCTTAAAAAGTAAAACATGCTCTTGATGCAGCTGGTTTTTGCAAAAAAAAAAACTTAGTAAAGCAGAAAACATGAAGGCTTTTAATATATAAACAGAACAGCTTCAGCAACTTTGCATTTTCATAAGTAAGGTTACTGATGGGAGAAAGAGTTGGAAATCAAAAGATCTCGAAGTACAAAGCCTCAAAAATACTCCATATAGAATTTAATTATATGTCTTCTCCAAAACTTTATACAAACAAAGCCTGAGCTCTTTAAAATAAATACCTTACACTTCTTTTCCTAGACTTTAAAAACAATTGAACATATGTGATTTTAAAAAAAACCAACAAATTACCAATTCATTTAGTGTCTCAGTTCCCTTAATTGTGAAAAATTGCTTCACTGTATTGAATGCAATGTAATACCACGCCATTAATCTTCCAGTGTCTGTAAAACAAGAATATACCTTTAAAAAATAAATATATCAAGTATATTTCAGTGGCTTAGAGCTTTTTAAGCCTCCAAATTAAATTAATTTTCTTATTACAGGCCTCTGTGAGATTTCCTCCCACTACTCAGTATGTTATTGCCCCCAGCTGTGTGATGGACATTACTGACCCGATCACAGAGTGGCAGAAAGAGCCATGTGCCAGTGGCAGTTCTCTGCAATGGAGATTAAGTCCCACTAACACACCAGGCAGTGAACTGTGGTTACTAAGAAGCCAAACACCTCTAGCAGAGGACTGTAGAGAAGAGCAGGTATTGGTAAAACCTGTCCTTCATTGCACTGTGCCACAACCAATTATGTTGTCACAGTGTTCTGCTATCGTCTCATCTGCAACAAATTTTCAGCAACAAGAGAAGATCTATTCATGAAACAAGATTAAAAGAATGAACATCTATGACTTGGTCAAGAAACTTATCCATATATTCTACTCAAACAATCCTTCAGATTTTACCCTCTATGACATTTATGTACTATTATTAATGGTGCACAAAGGTAGTTGAGATCCTTCGTAGTTCACTAATATCTCTACATCATTTCTGAAATTAGTTTATTTGAAACAAGTGTTACCTGTTGGTTTGAAATTATTTGCTTCATCCATCCTGATCAAATCAAAAGATGATAAATCATTTAAGTTCTTCAGACACAGTTCTGTCAAAAATTTGAAAAATGTTTTCTGCATGTACTAAAAATACCTTATCCATGTACACACCAGAAACATCATCATCAAATTGTATGAAGGTATATCCAAGTAATTCCACTGAACTCAAGCAAAGGTTTTGGAATCCTTCTATTAAAGCTGGTGGTTAACTTCTCTGTGGGGAAACTCACTCAAAGATAATTGATACAGGACAAGCCAACTCTTTTTCACTAAGGCAAAAGTTGCAAAGGAAAAGAAACTAGATGCTGAAATGTAGGTTGCCATATTCAAGTTTGACAGATCAGAGAGCCCACAAGCACTTATATAAGAGACTTCTGCTGGAGAGTTAACAGCTAAATGGTTCAAATTTCAAATACACGAAAATATTTATGAATCCTTCATTAGAAATTTTTGTACTGTATCGGTTTCATTTGTATTTATTTCACTAAACCCATTGTGTCAGGTATCTGCATAAGAATGACCAAAGTGCTTTTGTTCTCTCTTTCTCAAGACCAAGGCAATATTCAGAATTGAAAAGTCAGAACATCACTCAAAGAGATAGTTCCCCTAGCAACCTGAAATCATTCACTTTACACATGAAATATATGAAAACATTATACTCATTTCTACAAAATATTTCATATTGCAGGCAAGAGGAACTAGTTTTAACATCAGAACTTCAAGGAAATATAATCCACACTGAAAAAGAAGTAATTGAATTCTTCTAGCACTATCTGTACATTTTAAACCATGCCTTCTCCCATTAAGGCTAATTTAGGTAGTATCACGCTTCATTCCCTCTATTCCTTTCAACCTACATGGCAAGAACAGAAAGGTCCTGATGTAAAAGACAGGAAAAAATAGAAAACTACTGGAAGAGGCGAATTCTCCTACTGATAAGTACTCTTATTTTCATTGTCTTCAAGTGAAAGTCAACATCTCTCACATTTGGGGATTTCAAGCGGTGGCAAATATACTGTGCTCCTGAAGGCCCTTGAAACCCTTCCACAATGAACAGCCTCATTCCACCAAGCCCAAAATCAATCACAAATATTTCCTACACAATTATGTAAAAAATGTGTAAGTGGACTCCAAGTACAAGCTCTACAAATTTCTAGGCATTTTATCTGTCCATGTTTTCATGGACCAGACCCTCCTCCAGATATTTTAGCTCCAAATGGTCTGGATGGATATGAGGACTTTCACCAAAGAAAGAAAATTGTACTTGTAGTTTTACAGAACTAGAAAGCAAGTACTCTTTTATAAATATACCAACATTTAAAGTACCAGAAAACTTACATTAAAATAAATTAACAAAACAAAACCACCTGAAGAGTTGTATGCTATTTCTGTATTTAAAGTTAATAGACACCAATTCCCAAACTATTTTGTCAGCTCTATTTCTAATGAATTACAAATAGCTAAAATGCAGTATTTAAAAAAAAAACAAACGTTAATAACTGCATTTTATTCAAGTCTTAGCAATAAAAGCCACTTAAACCCATGCAATTTTAAATTGTTTCTGGACAAGGCAAAGAAGTTTAAATTTTATATCCTTTGTTTTCAAGGCTAAATTTATGAATGGAAGATGACATTTTCTGAAAAGAACTTTTCTGAAAGTATAGTAACATAAATTAATGAAAGCAAGTGAGATCAATTAAAGGAAAATTAGGAAGAATGACAAGCAATCAAAATTAAAGTGTTCTGAGCATGTTTATGGAAATGAGGTGAGCATTTCTGAGCACGTATATGGAAATGAGGTGGGTAAAGGCATTTAATGGTTTTCCTCTACACAAGAAAAATGTTTCTACCAGTTAAAATGTATCTATAGTATTTCAAAAATATTAACAACAAAATAAAATTAATAACACACAGTGAAATACATTGGTTTTGAAAATGGATCTATTGAAATTAATGGATATAGATAATAAACATGGGTGAACCTGCCCTAAATTGTAGCATTTTACTGAAAATAGCTAAGAAGCCACTTACCTTGTAATTTTGCTTCAATTCCAACTTTATCTAATCCAGATGAAAAACCTTCATGGCAAAGATAAAAACTGTTTTAACATAGTACTATCATACACTTTCTCCTTAATGTCTTTACCCATTAAAACTGATTTGCCAATTTTTAAGAGGCAGACAAATACCCCAAAGTTAAAAATGTGGGAATATTTATTATACTGCAAACAAGTCAGAAGTCTTATAGTAAGTAACTAGCTAAGTATCAGTAAGAGGCTGCTAGAACAGATGTACAAAGGTAAAAGCTGCAGACATTCTCCCATGTAAAATATCAGAGTCCTAAAGGTTTCAGAAATGTCAGTAGAAACTTCCAGGTACAGTTTTCTTATTTTGAAATACAGGAAGCCACCTGAATTGTAGCATCCATTGAAGTACTAGATGTGCTATGTTCCAGCTATAAATCCTTACAAAAAATTGTCTTCAGCAATTACCCAATGACTTCAAAATCAGGCGTAGATCAAGTGGGCAGGAACATAGATATGGTCAGGGCAGGGGACTGGGGTAATGTTCTGGACAAGACAAACTGAAGACATTGGAATTAAGATAACTAGAATTTTTTTCTAGAAAAAACTGTGAAATACTAGACTATTCTTTTTCTTAGCAGATTACATATTCAGCAGTGCAAAATACATTATGACTCATACTGTATTAATATATGGTCCAGCATATTAAGATAAAAAGAAATTGATTATGAAGCTATAAACGGCTTCTTCACAGTTTTTAAATGTTATACCATGCTGAAACTCCCACTACTTATGTTAAAGAACAAAATGTTACTGGCCACATTGCGCATCTTGTTTTCATAACATTACGAAATTACAGTCCATAAGAAAATGATAGAAAAAAATAATATGGACATAACACATCCTAACACCATAGTTAGATGAATTAAAAAAATAAAGCCAAACAAACCATAATGAGTTGGATTTTTTAAGGCTCTAATGTACAAAAATGTTGATCGTATCCATTCCAAAGCTACACTGACATCCGTGACAGTATGCAGCACTATTTCAGCATTTAAGTGTTCAACAAGGTGCCTGTGCAAGCTAGTGCAAAAAAACAAGAGTTAAGGACATTTACCAATGAGCAATACAAAAAGTGTTAAAACTAATTTTTGGGAAGAAACAAAATCAAACAAATCCCTTCCCCCAAACCGCAGCTGTTCACTGTGATCAGTGAAATTGATAGAATAAAGATTATGTAAGTAATCAACAATGTAATTGGTTTATTATGGCATAATGCCTATCTAGCAAAAATAAACTGTCAACTGTGAAGTTCCACATTTACTAGGAAAAAATGGTACATAGATTTAAAAATTACAGCACAGACATTCTGTGCTGTTGATATTTTAAATATATTTGAAAAAATAAATGTTACCAAAATTACATGAGTAAAATTTCCTATTTTACCTTTTAATGTCCTAACTTTGCTACATATTTCTCATGATAATCTGTTAACAACAAATATAGGTCTAGCATTTTCCAGACTCAATCATCAAGAAATTCAGAGACATGGGCTGCATTCAATTCCTGCTTTTTGTCTTTGCAATAAATACTCTTTCAGCTTCCTCAGTTTTCCAGCATGAATCTAAAACTATTTTTTTTTGAGCTTAAGATGTCCTAAAGATTGTTTTGGCTGATAAAACAAGAGACCACTAACTACTGAATAGCTTGGCTTTATTTTCCTTAATTCTTTCTTGATTTCTTCTAAGCAGACCAAAGAAACAGCCCAAAACCCATGTGAAAAAAACCCCACATTCTGTAGAAACTATGAAGTTCAGCTACTATCTACAGAGTCTTATAAAAAATACTTAGTTACCTGCTCTCTATTATATCAGCACCATTTAACATCTGTATATATCTCGCCCTGGTACTGCAACGAGTCATAATGACTGCTGTAGCGGTAGTGTCAAACTGAAAAATAAAACCCCAAATAAAAGCTGCTCTTTACTTCTTTAAAAAAAACCCAAACAGTTGAATATGCATCACATACCTTAATCCACTAAAACTCTTTCCTTAAAATCCTGCCTGAAATGAGTATTGTATGCCAGTTTCCTACTCTCTAATCCCCACTCACTACATAACCCAAATGTAATCTTCAGATCTTTTTCCACTGCAAGGTGAAGCAGTAATTTTTGATGGACAATACAAAAGCAAATAGATTTCTTTTCTAAATAAAAGTTACCTAGGAGTAATTTAAATATTAATAAGCCTTTAAAAACCAAATGCTGCAGTAAAATTCCTGGCATTGCAGTTTCTTCAGCAAAAATAGCTTCTACTAATCTGGCTATAGACAGTATCAATACAATAAAACATTCACTTACCTGAGGCCTTCCAGCTCTCCCAATCATTTGCAGAATATCAGTTTCACTGTACTCTTGAAACACTCCTCCAACATAATGCATTGTGGATTTTATAATCACCAGGTGTGCGGGCAGGTTGACTCCCATAGCTAAGGTGCTAGTAGTAACTACGTTGGATCAAAGTATATGAACACCATCAAAATGTCTAGCAGACACTAAATAAGCAGCAAATAGGTAACTTAATTCTTGATATCTAAGAGTTCTTAGTTTCTAGTGGACTCAGTGGGCATTCTGCACCACAAAGAATTTGATGTGGATTACAGACAAGTACCTGCATAACAGTTTCTGTTTATCTGATCATCAGCATTCATTTGTTCTCATATTCTTTACTAAATTACATCCTAGATACTTTTTACTTAAACATTCCTTTATACTTGGAGATAATCCAGAATACGATTCCTGTTCAATATAACAGACACACAATGAAGAAACCTTACTCTTGTTTCTTCCAGGGTATGTATTTGAATAGAGCCATGGCTTCATCTTGCTTAGTAGTGGTCAATATTAAGATATATTTTTAAAGTCATCAGTCATTAACATTGTTTATATCCATGGTACCAAACCAGAATCACCACCAATACAATAACCACACTTTACCAGTACACACTCTCACATGGAAAACATCGGTCAAGTATGTGGCAAGTAATCTTACATTCATGTTTCCTAATTCACTCTCTCTAAAGAATATATGGAGCAGCAAGAATTCAACACAGAAAGCTAGTCATATGGGCCAACTGGTATTTCCTATTCTGCTAGGAAAACAAAGGATTTTTGAAATTTCCAATTATTTTTGAAATGAAAATTAAAATCAGTAATTATTATATTTTTTCTTATGACCATTGTAACACAAAAGAAAAAAAATCCACAAATCATTTAGTGTTGTACATGAACTGCACAGACAATTTCCCATAGGGTCTGGATCTTTATTTTACAGAAAGAGAAAGCCTGGATGAGATGAGACAATCACATCTTAGATCCCTTCTCATTTCATGTAACAACAGATGGAATATTTCTTAAGGACCTCCCCAGTCACATCACCTTACATGGAGTTTGAAAATAGCATCCTGCCAACCTAAGAGGCATAAATGTAGAAGATTGCCTTCAGGGAAGCCACAGGTGCAAAGAAAACAGACAAAGAAAACATCTTGGAAACTCAGAGGAAAGATTCACTAGCACAGAACTCCACCTCAATGGGAGAGTTCAATGGTAGGAAAAGGCCAGACCTCTATGGACATAGGAAGGGGATGACCTCCATGTGTGGTGAAAAGACGTTCCATGCTCCTTAGTAACAGTGCATATGTAGGCTCACAGGGTGAAAGTACATGTGAAACACAAAAACACCTTACCTGGATTTCACAACTTCCAAAGGTTAAGCAAACTACACAACCATAAAATATTACTTCCAAACTGCAATCTTTTCAGGATACATAAATGAAATTTTGACTTTCAAAGTTAATTTCACTTACAAAGTACTGGCAAGTCTCCTGCAGTAAAAGCGCCTTCAATTATTTTTCTGTCCGATATCTCCATACCCGCATGATGATAAGCCACACCATATGTCAAAAGGTCTGATAATGAAATTATTATATACATCATTTAACTAGGTTTTCTCAAGCAAATATTCAATCACAGAGCAGAGAAGTTGTAGGTTATATTTACCTCTCAGTTTGGAGTCTTTCAATGAATTTGCAAACCCCTGTAATCTATGCAACACACACAAACAACAACAAAGAAAAATAAAATTAAAAAATATACATTCTTTGATTATTTTCAACCACCACATTTCCCATCCTGACAGAAAGAACAGACTGACTCTCTGGGGCAGCTATTGCAGCTTTTTGAGCTTGGTCATCTTTCCAAGTGACAATCAACAATCTTTATATGTTGTTCACACAAAGCAAACACAAAGTCAGGAGTAGCTTCTGCAGCTGCCATGACTAGGCAACCCTGAAGTAAATAATAATTAATATGGCTGCATTTAATAACAGTATCTGATAAAGCAAAGAAAACTTAAAATACTAGTAAAGTCACATCCAATTCAACTATTCATATGCTTAATATTTGCACTACAAGGTCTCAGAGAGCCATAAGAATTAGCATTTTTCTTTTAGAAAGCACCTTTGAGAAACAACTTAATATTTGTGAAAGGTATCCTAAAACTCTGAGAAGCAAATAAAACCTCCCAAGAAGAGTGCCAATTTACCAAAAAGAATGTCAACTGTGATGATAATTTTGTTGCATGCTCCTCTGCTAGAAATTGTATTAGCTCAACAGCTTTCTTCACAGATATAACAGGTTTACTAAAAGGTACAAACACTTATTTCTAATTTGAATAGAAAAATACCTTTGTTTCTGTTCTATACTCAGTAGAAATTTAGCATCTTTTGCAAGAACAGAAGCAGCCTGCTGTACTCCTTTTCTTGTGGCACAAAACTACAAATAAAAGATATTTTTTTGAATCAACACTTTCAAGAAAGAAACAATTTTAAACATGATTAAAAAAGCCAAAAAGCTGTTGTACCACAAGTGCTGGTTTTTGCTCTGAGTATGTTTGTATAACGGTAGCTATCTTGTAGTTAAGAGTTAAGTCAAATTTGAATTCTGTCTGATTGTCACTGCAAGGAAAACCAAGCACAATTTTGCGTAGCTTCACTGGTCGTTGATCCTCATCTATTTTCAGGCATACAGCAGGCATCTTAGTATCCGAAAGCCATTCTGCAATCTTTAAAAAAAAAGTAGAACAGAAAAGATAAATTTCTTTTAATTGTACTCCAGCTCTAATAGCATCACAGAATAATTAACTTAGCTTTTGTCACGTGCAAACTACTAACACTTTTTTTTATAATTTAAAATCACAGGTGAGGTTCTGCTTTTTGCAGGACCAATATAATTTGGACTGAAATCTCAAATCTGTTGTGATTTGTATGTAAGAGGCAAAAATCACAAGCAGAAATCTAAAACTGAAGCATGTCCATACATGGCTGACATTTCCATACGGTTGAAGGTAATCTTAAATTAGCAGCAGCCTCATAGCTGTCTTCAGATGACAGCTTAAAAATTACTATTTTGCTATCAATCTAAAATTGTAATTCCAGACAATTTTTTTAAAACACAACTCCACCGATCAAAATACAGTTAAAATGTAACTCTTACATCTTGAGTATTTGGGATTGTTGCAGAAACAGCTACAAATCTCAAGGGAGGAACAGTGTCATGCTTCTCTAAGAGACGCCAAAGAGAAGACTGAATAGTTTTCATCCGACTGACTACAACTTCCAAGGTTGCACCACGGCTTTCATCCTTTATTACGTGTACCTATCAGGAATTTTAAAAGACGTGCTAAATATTTTCCAGTTACAATCTGGACATGTGCTAAATACATGTAATATTTTCCAAGGTTCCTTTTATCTTCACAAAAGATAAAAAAGCACTGCATAAATCCTCATTCATTTTCTTACTTCATCGATGAGAAACAGTCGCACAAGCTGGACTATAGAGTTGTCTCTCCACCTTCTAGTCATGCTATCCCACTTTTCCTTGGAGGAAAAAACGAACACATGAGAACAACAGCACCTGAAAGATGTTTTAAATGCCAGCACATACCACAACTATAGTACATAGAGACATGCCTAAACTTCATAAATCTTTAAACAGAAACAATTAAATTAATTCAAGCTAATGCCATCTATGTTTAATCTGGCACATTATTATACTACTAACTTTTGTTTATATTAATTGAGAGTGTGCACAGCAGTGTGCAGACGAACAAAAGCATCATAAAATTACTGTGCATTATTACCAAAAAAAAAAAAAGAGCAGTCCTTGCAGCATACAATTAGAAGACTGCTAATGTCTGTTTATTCTAAGTTCTTGTAAGAACTGGGAATGAAACCTACAGGTGTAGTGATAATAATGTCAGCATGATGTATTTCAAATAAATCATCCATCAGTGTATCTCCTGTCAACTCCTTGCAGGTGAGTCCTATAGGTCCAAATTTTTCTTTCCAGTCATCAAAACGCTGACTACATAGAGCTTTTATTGGAGCCACTAAAAACAACACCAAATAATGAAAATTAAATCAGGAAAACCAAATCTTCAGCTGTATTAGAAATTTATGCATTTAGTTCATTTAGAAAGATGCCTTCTTGAAGTTAATTTATTTCCCTAATTTTCTGCTTTGCTTCCAGAACCATAAAATCTGTAGCTGGTGTTACTGTTCTCATTATTCTACTCCATATGCACAATCCATGTTGAGCTTTGAGCCCTTAGTTCTTCCCATCAGCAAGCAGGAACAGAACCCTTTAATTAAGATTATTTATGCTCCCTCTTAATCCTTCATCCTGTTGGGTTTGATTTTCTTTGCAGTACCACATGGAAACAATCATTCAACTATCAAAGTTTTTCTCACAGATGAAAGAAACCACAGGAAATACATATTTTCTAATGAAAGATCATACAAATATCAACCTTTTCTCAGTTAAGAATGATTTGAGTACTCTGTATTCAGAGAGCAAAGTATAAGTGAGAAACCATCCAAGAGCAAGAGACAGACTCTTATTTCTTCTGGTATTTTATCAAAATCAAATGTAAAGTTAAGTGTACGGTCATAAGAAGCAGCTAACACAGCAAGTAGCAGTTTTTATGCTGGTTCTCATGAACTGAGTCCTAAAACAACCTAGTCTTTTTTTTTTTTTTTTTTTTTTTTTTTTTTTTTTTTCCTGAGAATACACACTGTACTTTTGCAAACTCTTTTCCCCCAGAAATCAGATGTCATTCTCAATAAGGACTGGTATTAACAATACACATAAGGCTATACTAGATGATTAATCTAGATTGAAAATGCAGTGATTTAAGTGAAAGAGGCAATCTATGCATGACACCTAAACAGTCCTAGTATAATAGATCTTGCAGTGATTACATTCTAGGTTAGTTAGAGGCACTAGAATATGAATGATTTCTGCATATTAGCTCACAAATGATCTCTAAAACTACAAGATTTAAATAACCTGCTTCAAGATTTAAAGTCTCTGCTTCAGAAAGAGGTGCAAAATTGCAGAAGAGTATCAGAAAAATAATTCGCTCCAGAAAACTGATGAAGCTACCAGCAAGTAATTCACAAAATGCCAAAGCTAATCATCTTCAGCAATACAAGAATGTGAGAAGCAAGTGATTGCTCCTGGAACTGCAGTCACCAGTTCTTTGAGGTAAAGCTACTGGAAAACAACTCCACAGAACTACTGCAAGCTAATTCACATATATGGGGCCACAGATGAACCAGGCAACTGAGCTCACACCAGCAGGACATAGGCTGATTACCACCTCTGTTCCAACATTCAGAAAACTGACAAGTCTCCTTCTCCATCATTGTGGAATCCGGGAAGGTCAGCAGATTTAACTCCACTAGCAGGTAACAGTCTCCTTATTGACAGTTCCAACCAACCAAGTTGTAGCAATTCTAACACGGCAAGTGGAAACTATTACCATGCACTCAGCCTGGTCCAGCTGACAGAGAACCTGTAGCACATGTCTGCTTCTAAGATCAGTTTACAATACACAGTGAACTCTAAAGCAACACTAGCTTTATTGTAAGAAGTTGAACAAAATAGAACAAAAAAACAATATGAAGCTTTTGTAAATATAAGGATGAAACCTCTAATAGAAAGGCTGACAAACATATCAGTGTACAAATAAATTAAAACTGGGACAAAATCACCAATTTCATCAAATTTACAAATATGAACCCAGTTTTCCAGGAAGGAAAGAAAAAAAGTGTAACCGGTGTGACTATCTCCAAGTATTTTCATATTTCTACACAGATCAATTAAATCCATGAAGATCACAGTTCTTGTGCCTCTGAGGTAGTATCCATAAAACAGCAGAAAACTTTGCCAGGTAAGTGAACACTGGAAAATTTGATCCTCATCTCAGAGCAACAGCCAGCCATACAAAAGATAATGTTACACAGAAACCATGCACCAAGAATTGTTTTAGTTTCCTTTGCTTCCTTCTTTCCTTTTATAGACATCTTACCTTCTTGGAGGACAAACTTCTACAGGATTTTCTATTTTTTATTTTTATAGGCAATGCTGAACACTACAGTTACACAGTGCTGTTAAATACTAAGAATAGTTACAATGGTACCATAAATAAACACTAAATCAACTTTTTAAAGAATGAAGCAGGTTGCAATATCTTAAAGTATTTAATCTCAATATTATTCATGGACTCACTCCAGATCTCTGCATTCCCAGAATGACATTTTCTGTTCTGTCACCAAAATGTTTAAAGCTGTATAATACTTACTGTAAACAACTTTAATATTTAACCAAGGCAGTGGAGCTTCCATTAGTAATCTGGTAATAGCTAGTTCGAACATTACAGTCTTTCCAGAGCCAGTTGGAGCACAAATCACAAAGTTCCTATCTGTATATAAAAGCTAGGAAAGAATTGCCAAGTCCTGTTAAGTTTTCAATAATGGCAAATGAAAGGTTCGTATAACTCTGCTTCCTTCCCACACATTTTATCCTCCACCATCTTAGAAGCCAGGTATGTCCATGTCAAGCTCCCTCATTTTCCTCTGACAAGACTGATTCTTCCCTCTTTCCTCCTCCACAGTGTCACTCAACCATATCACTCACTCACTCACTCACTCACCCTTCCTCCTCCATGCAAATATACTACCAATCTCTATTCATAAATACAATTCTCATCTTCACACAAACATATTTTAAACTGAGAAAAACACTTTTTAAAGTTCTTCTGGTCTTTTCTCCCAGCTAAGCACAACCCTGATAAACTATTCCAGTTTAGATATATTATAGTTTTCTAGATATATTATAGATATATTATAGTTTAGATATATTACAGTTTTCTAATATATTTATTTAGATATATTATAGTTTTCTAATTCATTTTATGCTCTGAATATCAAAGTATCACTTAAATTTATCTACAAAGTACTACTTGCAGCTGCAGTTTATGTTCCATACTTACATCATCCAAAGCTTTTGACTGTGCATAGTTAAAATATGGGAACTCCTTAAAAATACTTCTAAATTGGGTTGCTTGAGAGCATTAAGGAATTTAAAATACTAAAGCATAAATTATAAAATTGTAGGAATGTAAATGCATCTTTTCCTTGCAATCTAAAATATTTGTTATACAACACAAATTATTTAGCATAATACTGTATGCCCAGACATAACAGCAGCAAAAAAATTCACCTATGATCACTTTTAAAGTGGTTTTAAAGATATTTTTCAGTCGCCAATAATGTGTGTTCTTCAGACAGCATTCTTATCTGAAATACGTGGGAGATGGAAAGGGAGGATTGTTAGGTTACAGCTCCAGAGGAGTGAGCTGATCCCTGTCTGCACAGGCAGAGCAGCCAGACAACAACCTGACTGTGGCCATCTCCTCAGGCTCAGGGTGAGCACACAGTCAGGTGTGACACTGACAGCAACAGGAACAATGAACTGCCAAGGCCTCGGATCCATTTCACATTAAAAGACTACAACGGAAAAGATACAGGAGTAAAACAAGAAATAAAAGCAGTTTAAAATGGGCAAAGAAAAGCAAATAACATTAGACAAAAGAAAATAAGAATTTTTAAAAAACTTATTTAAATTCCCTGCTCAGAATAAGTGATTTGTTTTCAAACTACAAAGCATTAATAATCCTTAATTGGTAAATTCACAACAATGGAATCCTTACTAATTTTAAAAATTGTGACTTTTTAAAGATATTTACATGAATTTAAATTCAGACATTTCCTCTTCCCAATATTTAACCATTTGACAGGTTCCTAGAAACAAAGTATTAAAAAGAGTGTGTAAAAAAATCCAGAAGTTTGGTAGGTATAGATGAATGCTTGATTATATTTCGTGGTCAAGGCAGGGCCAAGAAGAAAGAAAATTATGGTAAAATCTGGTTAAAGAATGGAAATACAGTGCAAGCACACTACAACATGGGTACAGACCAACAAGAAATACGTTAATTTTCTTTTAAGAAAATGAGGCAGAAAGTAAGACTCAGTTTTCCTAATAAGCCTAAATAATAATTTATTTTTCCTTTATTTAAAGCATATGGAGGTATATGTATATATGTGTGTTTGTATAGAAAATGTCTGAAATACATATTATGCAAACTAAAATTTTACATTTAATATTTTAAAAATAAAGTTTTGAGGATAAAATTTGAATGTTTGAAATAAGAATAAGCTTTCTTAGGAATGAATGATCTACAAGTTGTCTTATTTTCATTCTTGCTTTGGAAGCCAAAAGGATAAACACCTATTGAACATTTGATTCCCAGATTGTTCTACAAATTGAAACTATTACAATATAATGCATTAATTCCTATGGCTACAAATTAAACACTATAATTTTGCAAATGTAAAAGCACTGTAATAAAACCAGGAAAATCAGATCCAACAAATACAAGGATACGTATTTCTGTAACAGCCCTCAAAATTTCCAATTTTCTTCCTGTAGTTCCTAAAGAAGTAAAAATAGAACATTTATAAAATCAGATTGATTTTCAACCAATAACCATGAAAAGTATCTTCCTGACCCCAAGCTGTATGTTCTATAAGGAGCTTCAAGGCTGCAACAAAGTCCAGGTGATAGAAAGGAGAAGATGGGATAGGGCAGGGAGGTCACTAGCTCATCATTTAAAAAGGCCACAGTGGTGGCCCTTTGATGAACTCACTCCAGTTTAAGAATATCTTGCATGTACCAGAGACTCAAAACTTGATGCAGGATCTAGTTGTGGTCTCAGAAGTACCAAGAAAAGGATAATCACTTCTCTAAACTCCCTAGCTTTGTTAACAACGCCCAGGATGCTGTTGGCCTTTGTTACTGCTGGGACACACTGCTCACTCAAGGTCAGCAAGCTGCTCGCCAGACCCTGGGCACTTTTCCATGAGCTGCCCTCAGTCAAACCATCCCAGAGGAACCCCGGGTGCTCTTCTCTTTCCCTGGGGCAGGAGTGTGGATTTGTTCCTGCTGAATTTCATGAGATTGCTGTCAGCCCCCTCCTGCAGGGCTGTCCCCTGCAGTACTCCCCTTGCTGCTGGCACGTGGGCATTGTGACCCATTCACCACCACCCTTTGAGCCTGGCTCACCACTTTTACACCAGGCAGTGGTTGATCCACTCCTAGTGCCCTGCGTGGGTACCAGAATGCTGTGGAAGACGGTGTTTCTCAGCCACTGTGTGGTATAAAAACCCTCGCTGAAGGCAAAGTGAACAGTAGCCACTGCTGTCCCCTCACTCACAAATGGAACCACTGCTCGTATGGCAATCAGACAAATCACGCTTTTCATTCCTGACCCGTTTCCAAATCCCATCCCACTGCTCTACCCTACATTTTTCTGCTAGAACTAATTTTCTGCTCCCCATATCACTAGTAGTCAAGCACACAAGGTACCTTCCACAGATGTGTCATGTCCCAAAAAGTTTAAAATCTAGAAATAAACTGCACTTAAAAACTATTAAAAGGCAAAAATAATTTCTAAACCACATATTTTATAATTTCATCAAAGTCTCACCACTTCCCTCCATTTTCTAGGTATCTCCTACTTAAATTCTATTTCTACAAAGATACAAATATAAGCAACACCACAAATAAACATTTCATTTTCAATTTCTGTTTTTAAATGAAGATTAAACTCTTTACCACACAAAGGGACAAGGCTGTTTTTTTTCAAATTGCTGAGGGGATGTGAAATGACATTTTCAAACAGGTTTACACAATTTAGCACTTCTGAAAATGTGAATATTCTTCATAAATTGTTTAGCTAGTCCATATTAAACAACAATGCAATTAAGTTTCACAGGACTGCAATGCATTGTATCAATTTTAGCCAATTATCTCACCTTGAGCTGGTGGGAAAATGTTCTTCACTCTACCTCAAATCTTGAATACCCTTTATTATTATATACCAAAGACATCTGTTCAGACAGGACAATGGACTATTTTTCTTGAAATAGAGTAAAAATAATTACCTGTCATATCCAAAATCTCTGAAGCATTAGAAAATGTTTGAATTTTAATTCGATTTTCAGACAGACTCTCTTCATTATTTACCCTATGCAAAGTTAAATCTGAGTCTCTAGTTATTGGAGCATGATGGTGATTTCTCAAAAAACCTTCTTTTGTCACCTCTTTCATGTTTTCACTTGTATGTAAGTAAGTACCAATTTCTTTCACATCAACAGAATCAGCTTTAAATTCTGTATTTTTATGCACATTGCCAGACTTTTTAAATAAGCTGCAAAAGATCCAGAGTTTTCATTAGCTTGTTGTAATGTTAAAGTTTATCTAATATTTAAAAAATACTAGATATACATTTGTATTAGCAGTAGAACTAGTAAGAAAAAGAATAAAATTGTATCTAACTTTATGTACTCTGACCTAAAGACTCCTTTCAAGATACATTTTAATTTCACTTTCATTCCAGAAAGAACATGAAAGAATAAACTGCCTGTCCAGATGGGCTCAGACTCCTAATAGTACTTTAATGCTGAATTTCTGCATCATTAAAACCAATAGAGACATCCAGTTTCTGAGGAATGGGAGGAGCTGAACACAGAAGAGCAATTTACTGATAAAACCTCTCCTCCCAGGCAGCACTGAAATCACACTCAGAACTGCTCAAGGTATTCCTGACTGGCTGACCTCTGCTCATCAAAGCAAATGATCTCAGCCTTTTTCCTTGCAGATAAAGAATTCAGAGCAGTATTTTCCAAAAGCTTTGTTATCTAAAAATTTATTTAAAATTGAAGCAACAAACTGATGCTAACTTTTCTCATGAATGAGGCTGAGCTCAGGACTTACATTTAATTAAAGTACTAAAGGACTCAGGACTCACATCTAATTAAAGTACTAAAATATTGCCAAAATGAAACTTTTTTTTCCTTATACCGAAATAATTAGCATCTGGAGCCTACTAAAGTACCTGCAATTGAAAGATCCCAAGCTTTGTGTTCAACAGATTTATCTAAAATAATAACATGATTCTGACAGTGATAAATTGTCTGAATTGACTGGACACATACCTTTTTCTTAATGTTGAATGGACACTCTCATCATCACTGTTTTCACTGAATGCTTTATTTTGCAGTTGCTGAGAAAAATCTACTACTCTTTTATTTTCATCAAAGGAAAGAAAAGATGAAACCACTTGCAGATTTTCACGCTGAACACTAATTTTATCTCTTTCTCCTACACTTAATTGTAGAACTTCTTTTTCAGGGCCTATACCAAAATGAACAGGTGCTGATGATTTATCTTCTACTTTCTCTGTGTTACTCTTACATTGTTGTATAAACTTCTCCTGCTTTCTCCCTCCTACAAAAACTATAAATTATTATTTCATTAATATTCATATTCTTATTCACAGTCATTTAATCAAGTATCTTTCACACAGAATCAGCCAAATTTTCATCTATTATACAAACTGATATTTCTATCTTACTGCAAGAACTTTAGCATGTATTTTATGACTTATGCTAATGAATGTAATGCATGTGTTGTCAATTAAAAAGTTGTAAAAGTAAGGTCCCTTTCCTCCCTATGCAAAGTAAAGGATAAAAACTATTCTTCAAAACTACAAAAGAGTTTGTATGACAGAACTCTTCACCCTGTCTCAGAATAAAGATGGTCTTTTAAAAAAATGACACAATGACCAAGTTTGAAGTTCCTGCTACAAACAGCTGAGATAAACACTGCAATCTCAACAGTCAGAACTGGTACTGATGTTGGTGACAGGCTGGTTTCATAACCTTCTTGGCTAATTATCACATTTTGCAGGGTTAATTCTCAGTAGAATCAGTGTCCTGATCTGGCTGACCAGATCAACAAGCATTGCTGTTGGCAATGTTGGCAACAGAAGGGAAAGGCACAAACAGAAATACACAACTAAATGCAACAAGATAACAACAGCTCTATTTTGATGTCTTAATTTCAATGTTATCCACCAGAAACTCAAAATTACAGTGCCCTGTTTGTGATATAACCCCAACAATTCTAATTCTACAAACATCAAAACCTTATTTGAGTAATAGCTCTTAATGGCATTATTCTTGCATAAAGCAGAAAAAAATCCACCTTCTTTACTATAATTCCTAAATAGATAATATTATAAATCAGCACAGCAGCTAAGAAATGCACATATCTAGTTGACAAAGATAAAGCAATGACATTGTTTAAAATACAGTTCATCCTGAATGTCTAGGAATACGCCACTTAGCAGCAATTAATGACCAAATTCAAATTTGGCCACCTGAACTATTTGATTAAAGCCCCAAAAGGGGGAAGAAAAAAATGAGTTTCATATAAACTCTCTGCTCCTTGAGTGGCAGACAGGCCGTAAGATCCATGTGACAACGTTATGTTCTTACAGCCACTTCCCACTGCGTTACAATGCTTCATGAAACAATGTGCACTAACTGAAATTTTGATTATACTTCTCACCTTGCACATTTCTGCACAGTAAACTTGTGGCATGTATATGCCTAAAGAGGACTGCTATGCTCCTGGCACATCTAACACCATCATTCTCAACTCAAATACAATGTCTCTACTTGCATACCTAGAATATTTCATTTCTCACAGCAAAAGAGGAATGATCTGTCACACTAATTATTTGTTGAGTAATTTAAAATCAGTGTCAAGTAATACCTGACATTGCCCAACATTAGTTGAACTTTGCAGTGTTAGGTTTAGGGGTGGACTTGATCATCCTAAATGTATTTTCCAACCGCTGCAATGATTCTGTGATTCTGTTCTATGATACTTTACCCATGGGAGTGTTGGCTGAGTTTTTTTCCAGTTCCCTCTGTAATTCCTCAGCAGCTGGAATTTCAGCAATAGCTGGAGCAGGTGCAATAAACCAAGTCTTATGATCTTCATTTTCCAGACACCTATTTTTAACACACAAATGTGAGGTAAAAGCATTTTTAAAGCACCCTCCACAACAACTAGCTCAAAATCACTAGTCATAAATAACCTATTGTTTCTCTTGCTAAAACATATTCTTGTTCTTCAATTTATGTGACTTCTAACAACAAAATTACAGAGGCAAAACTTCTGCTACCCCTTATTTCGTATAGCCCTAAGATTCATCTGCATCACTGAATGTGCTTGGAGAAACATTTCAAAGTATGGGTAATGGAACCAGAACTTTCTAGCCTCAGATTTCTATCAGTGGATGAAACAGTGAGTCATAAGAAAAAGCACTGCTGCAAAATTATTCCATTTGGAAAACAATGATATATACCTAATAATAAAGATTTACCTTTGTCTCATATCTGGTTTTTCATAAAATAAATTATCCAGTGAAAAGACCATGTCTGCAGCATTGAACATTTTCAGATCAAATGTGGTCTCTTAGTCTGCAAAGGGCAGCACAAGAAAATGTAAAACTGAAATTACTAGACTTGAACCTGTCTAAAGCAATACAAAGTTTATTAGTTGTGAGTGCCAATATTTAATTTCTAAATTATTTTGTTTTAGAGCTCTTGACTGCATTCTTAATCTGTCTTCAAACAGAGAATTTGTCTCCTGATAAAATATGGTTCCTATTGCTTCTGCTAAAAAAGCCCTATAGGGCAGCACTTGAAGCAACCTTTGCTACCGTGACATATCTGGGAAGAAAAAATGGGTAGGAGTGAAGATCCAGATAAATTTTATGATAAAGTATTTAAATTCTAAGAACAATGCTAAATTTCAGCCTAGAGAAGGCTAGAGAAGGGGAGACTGAGAAGACACACCACATTCGTCAACTTCCTCGTGAGGGGAAGAGATGGGCAGGCATTGATGAGGTGACCAGTGACCCAAGAGAGTGGTCTGAAACTGTGTCAGGGGTGGTTTAGGGTGGACATTAGAAAAGGGTTCTTCCCCCAGAGGGTGGCTGCGCACTAGAACCCCCAGGGCCACCAGGGCAGTGGTCACAGCCCTAAGTCTGACAGAGGTCAAGAAGCACTTGGACAATGCTCTCAGGCACAGGGTGTGACTCTTGGGGTGTCCTGTGCAGGGCCAGGAGTTGCACTTGATGATCCTTGAGTCCCTTCCAACCAGCATATTCTGTGATTATTTTACACAACTGCAGCCAATATTTTTTCTCCAATTGTTTTGTTACTACCACAATCTGTCAAGCTTTTGCAAAACAAAATTATACTGTTATCTAAAAAAATAAAATTATACTGCTAGCCCAACAGTTATTTTAACTTACAAGCAAATTAGACTTTTTTAAACATACATGCAAATTGCTTACCTGGATAATTGGAGTATGGGCCCAACACCTTAAAGATATTAACAGGTTTGTTCTGAAACATCAGGACCAGAGATTATTTCTAAATTATTTATTGTATACACCAGTATTAAAAATACTCCACCTAATTTCAGTGTTTTTCATCCTGTAGTCATTAGAAATGCTTCTTCATGCCTTTCTGTTGAGAAGTTTCACAGCTCTTAATATTGCTTGAGGACAATTTTAAAAAGCAAAGATCTTACTAAACGAATACCCCACAAATTTCATGAGTCAAAAACCTGAGACTCACTGAAACAAATGGTAAATTAAGTTTATGGAGTTCAATAAAGGCCAACTCTGGGGGTAAAATAACAAAGCAAAGCTTACTTCTTTATCTACAGAGACAAAACCAAAGGTGACACTTCTTTTGTACTCCAGCATTTAATTAGTAATATATGAAAAGGATCTTTAAGAGTACCTTGCAAATAGGCTTTAGGTTTAATTACTGTAGACTGTCAGCTGTGAATCAAAAATTTTAAAAGAACTTTTCTTTCACGGTATCTATAAACCTTCAAATATTCCAGAGGTTTCAAATTTAAAAAAGAAAACATTTCACAATACCAGAATATAGAGCATGCAATCAAAAATATCTGGGAACACAATGAAGAACTTCAAACAAGAAATCTGTCAATGTTCCTTTTACACACTGTAAATCTGCAGTACCACTTATGCCAATTTCTGCCAGTCGCCCACTGCCAGGTCTTGCCACCTTCCCCTTCACATTAGTAAATATAGAATTTAGAAATCACACTGATAAATCTAACAAAGGTGTTTAATTTTGCCTCCAAGCTTTTAGTGTCAGTAATCTCAAGCAAGAACGCTCAGGCTTGGTATCGGTAGTGGCAGCAGAAAGTATCTGTGAGGAGAACTAATCAAGATGCTATTGAAGTAGTAATAATCTGTGTTAGTGCCTATCCAAGTGAATAACCACCGCTCCATCAGCTACAAGGAGCTGCAAATACAAAACACCAGTACGAAATGGTTTTTCCATCTCAGGTAGAGAATAATCAAATGTGATTATGCTACTTCCATTTAAATAGTCTGGATTTACTACTCCCATTCTTGAGTAGCCTTTGTTATGCACAGTGTTTGATTTCTCGGGCCCCTGCTCTGCTCTCTGTGTTATTTTTTCCTTGACCAACTCTATTAATCCAAATTGCTTGATAATGTAAATAAAAATAACAGAAGGTATCGTGGTCATTCTACAAGATTGGAAATCTAAAAGAAACACAGTCCTTTATGCAGCTCTGCATTCACCCACCTGCTCCAGCTGGGGAACAGGGAAAAGTCTCTCAGACTTTTAACGAAAAAGAACGCAAAAAAGGCGGGTGTGGGAGTGGTGGGGAGGAGCCCAAAATGTTTCCAAGATGGCCAGGAAACAAAGTGTCTTTTCCACACGCTCAGTGCGGTTGGGTTCCGAAGGGAAAATGCATATTCCAGGTGGCAGAATGAGGGAGTAGGTGTTTGCAGGGGCAGAACAGACCACTGAATCACATTTCCTGAGAAGTGTTTGCCAAATCCTGGGAGCAAAAACCTCTCTCATGTATCTGCTTTAACAAACACCTTACTACAAACACTGCAGGCCACGAGGGAATTTGCTCCGTTTTGAAGCCACTTTACTTTTCACCTTCCTCCTAAATTAACAAATCCTTTCCTCAGCACACGTATGCTCTCTCCAGGGGCCCAAAGTGAAGGTCACAACCTTCAAGGGTGCTGACCCAAACAAACCTGAGCTAAGCACAGCGCACCCCGGCTCACTGCGCTGCTGTCCGTGCCTGCGAGGCCCTGAGGCCCCTCACGGCCGGGCTCCGCTCCCTGCGCCGAGGAACGAGCACCCAGCGCCTCCCGCCGCTTCCACCGCGCAAAATGGCGGCCGCGGGGGGCCGCGCGCTGCAGCCGCCTCAGCGCGGCCGGCGGGAAGCGGCGATGGCGCCCGCGCCCCCCCCGCCCCGCACTGTGCGCGCCCCGCGCTCCCTCAGGGCCTCCCGCCGCGCCCCGGGGCTCGGCGCTCCCGCCGCCGCGCAATGGCCGCCCCACGGCTCCTGCCCGCCCGCCCCACGGCCCCTGCCCGCCCGCCCTCTGATGGGCGGCCCGGGCCCAGCGGCTGCCAAACCCCCTACCCGGAGATCCTCTAATGGGAAAGAACTGGCCTAAATTCCCCATAAAAACTGCCAAAGAGGAATGTGCAGACACTCCACTGCTGCTGGATTTAGAGCTTGTCCAAACATGGATTTATTGGGAATTAGTCTCTTGAGAAGTCCTTACTCACTTCAACCCTGATGTAAATTAGAAAAGGCAGCTGATTCCCGAGTCAGGAAGTCAGTTAAAAAAATTATTCCTGCAGGAAGAAATAAGCAAAAATATTGATCCTTTTAATGGATTTTTGAAAATAATAAGGTTTTTTTTTTTTCCCTTGCTGTTCGAGTGGTGCAACAAAATTGTTCAAATTACATGAATTGAAACAATATGACAAAGTATTTGTACAATGTAGAATGAGGTCGCTTACCCTGCTCCTCCCTGAAATACTGTAACTTAAAATTCTGGACTTGCCATTAGCGCATAGCTTTTGAACCAGCAAATTTTCAATAAATGGCACAACTGTCAAAGTCTAAATTTTAAGCTGGTTCAAAGCTTCATGACAAATACTATAGAGGCAGTTACTGTAAATATGCAATTCCTCATACATAAATAGATGAAAAGGAGAATATTTTCTCAAATATTTATTGATTTTAACATAAATAATTTTTATTTAATCAACTTTTTTTTTTGTTTTTCTTTCTTGAAAATATTAATTTTTAACTTTCCATTCCAAATTCTTAGACTTTGTGTATATTTACTTAATGTGTGTTCACTCAAGTTGTGCAAGCCCAGGTCGATTGAGACCTAGGTCAATGCAAGAAATATTATGTTTATCTTTACTATCCAGTGTATATTCATGTCTTTCCCATATTTATTCTTCCTTTTAAAAGACTTGCATCAGAATTGTGTCATATTACAATATTCCAAGTCTTATCACACATTTAGATGCTTTAACCCACCTCCCCATCTAATTACCGGGCAGACAGCCAAAGGTGAGAAACACTTCATTCCTACTTCCAATATGACAGCACGGAATAACAAAAGATTTTATAAGGAGCTTAGAATACAATCAGGATTGATAATGAACCCATTGTCTGAAATTAGATTCTGAAGCCATCAATCTTATTCAGTAACCTGAATAAAAGTGGGAAAATGTGCATAAGCATACAGTAAGGATTCATTTTTTTGCTTACAATAAATTCTGAAAACAGAAAGCATTTTTCCTTCTTACTATTAGTGAATGCCTTCTTTGATTCTGGCCTCAGGCAAGTTTCCATCTTAGTTCACAACATCTGCTTTTAGCTGACCAGACTTTAATGTTTAAAGCCATAATACAAACAGTTCATTTTTTAAAGCTATTTTTTCCCTTCGATTCCTTTCCCTAGGTGACATCTCCCTCAACACACACACAAATCACATAAAATATATAGCAAAGCAGGCTCTCAACTGCTCTGAGACAGTTTAATTTTTGATTTTCCCCAAGCCTAACATCTGATCCGCCATATGTTTTGAGTCTTTCCAGCTCATGGACATCATATACTAAGTCATAAACTTGCATGTTGTGGAGCAACACAACTAGAAAATCATGAACACCAGACATTGGTCACTGATCCATATGGTAACAGAATAATTCTCATACTTGCTAAATACAGAGCTGTTAGAACATTCCGTTTTCTCCAGAACTTACAGACTGAACAAATCAGCGAGAAATTAAGTGTAGAAAAGTAGGAAGATGTGAGCTCACTATAGGCGGTGACTTCTCTGTTTCCTTTGTCAAGCTTTATCCACAATTTCAGAGAATGACAAAACCATTGGTCTCTATAAAGCACCCTTCCTCAGGGTAGAAATCACTGGAAAATGTTAGCAGGCATGAAACCACAGGCAACCCCTGAACTGCATGACTTTTATCAGCACTTAGGTGGTTGCAATCATTAATTTATTAAAGAAATTGTAAAACTCAATAATTAAAAAATATTTGCGCCTTTAACCTTTTCCAGTAAAATCAAATACAAATAAAAACACATCAAAAATGAAGTTACCTAGTTAGGTGAGAAGGGGAATTCCTTCCATTTTATTATGATGGCTTTGATGGATTTACACCAAAATTTTTAAACGTAGGATTTACAATTGCGGGCCGGATGTCGCACCGCCCCACAAAAACTGAAAGCGGGTGAATAAGTAGCTCTGCGGCAGCTGAAGCGACTCCCGTGCAGAAGCGGTGGCGGGGCCGGGCCCCGGGAGCGCTCCCGGCGGAGCCCCGCGCTGCGTGTCCGCCCCGGGCTGGCCCTGCGCGGCTCCCCGGGCACCGCCGCTGCCTGCTCTGCCGCGCCCCGGCAGATGCTCTCCGGGAAGCTTAGCTCCTCAGCTTTGGTTTTTATGTGGCTAAACCAAAATATTTTTAGCACTATTGGGTTTTTTTTCATGGTGAGGTGGAGAAAGTGTTATTTTCTGTACTTTTTAACCTTTGTTTCCTTCTTCAATTTCTTACCCCTACACGTTTTGGGTTTTTTTTGGGTTTTTTTTTTAATTTTTATTTTTTAAATACTTTTAAGAGATGACCAACCAATAACTATTTTCGATATGTATTGTATTAGGCCCATGCTTCAAATTAACAAAACAAGCACATTCCATGTTTACAACCCCACCCAGAACAAATCTTGTCATGTACACGTACTTATTTTATGTCCCATACTAATTAGAGACATTAGCAATTTTGCACATAGACAAAGAAGATATCATATTGAGTATAGACTTTATAGTTCACATAGCTGATACTTTACAACTCCTGTACATCTAAATCAAATGTTGAGCTGATAAAATAAGACATACACAGAAGGAAAGGAAATGAGATGAATGCTGTAGTGATATTCGCTCTTTTGCAATGAATCTCCTAGGAGCCAAGTCATTGCTGCTTCCCTTAAAAACGAAACAAAAATGTCTCGTTGAAAAGTGTCCATGGAGCATGGAGTCTGCTTTTGCACAGATGAGAAACCTGAAAGTTATATCTGCAACCACTATTTTGGAAAATATCTGGCTATTTTCATCTTGTCAATTCCAACAATATACTTTTTTAAAGGTAGGGATGGAATGGATTTTTTTAGAGCTATTTTGTTGAAGCCGATTCTCAACAAAAGTAGAACAAATGCTCTTATTTTTTTAAGCTTTTTGTTTTAAATTATTATTAATCAATTCTGTTTACAGCTATACAGCTAACATCTGGATTCCAGATCATCTAATGGTTCATGCCCTTTGAAAAAGTTTCCTGTCAGCAAGATTTCTTGCTTTAGATTGGAAATTATAATTCCATAACTAAAAAATTTTCAGAACTCCTGAAAAGTAACTCCTTTTTTAGAGTTCTTCCTTTAAATAGATAAGTGTACTAGGAAAGCTATAGATTATTTTCCTAGAATAATTTTTTCATTTGTAAAAAATATTTGTCTGTGGTCAAGGAACAGACAAAAATTTGTGAATTTTGAAAATGCAGGTCTGGTATATGATGAATTTTTAGAATACATTTTGTTTTACACATAGCATTTTTATTCACCAAGAAAGTTTATATTTTTTCAAATGCGATTTAATATTTTGGCAAACAATGATTTGAGGAAACCATGATCTGGATATACTATGGCCACTTACCAACTATGTGTCTGATTCCTCCTCAAGGGAATTTATTTTCTTGGCTTTACGTCCACTCCATTTCGTTTGGGGAAAAAAAAAAAAAAAAAAAAAAAAAAAAAGAGAAACAAATATTTTAGATACTGTTCTCTTTGAAATGCTCATCTAAACATTTCTAGAAATCTTAATCTTCCCTTTCTGACTTCCCTGGTAACATCCTAATTATTAAATTTATACTGATTAAGGTGGAATAAAACAACCACAAACAGTGTGTAAAGCAGCAGTGTGATGCATATGCAAAGTGTGGGGGGTCCAGCCAATATGATTAACAGCTTGATGTAGTCAGGGCTAAGACACATATGTATTCCAAAGATAATTCTCTTAATTTGAAACTGTCTTTCTTAGAATGACAGCCTACTTATTCAGTTATTTCTAATAATCTTCCATACTGTAGCTATGCTATGCATTTTAAGTTAAATAGCAACAATATGCCAATTAAATTTCTGCAGACTATATGATCTGAACACCCTACAGATCCTTCGCTCTTTCAAAGTAGGTCCGTGTATACAGATTTTGTTTGATCTCTGGTTCATGTCAACCTGGTTTTGAAACATACCATAACTAGAAAATGTTTCTTCATATGTTAGTTATCAGGAATGTGATCTATACTGATAGAGGAGGAAACAAATTCATGCGCTGATCTTTCTTCAAAAATGAAGTTTATTCTCCTTGTATTAAGGTAAAACCATACATTCTTCCAAGTTTATATTTTCTCCCTGTTTTAACTTTTATGATCATTGCCTTAATGATTTTAAATTTACCAATTCAATGCTTGATAATATATTTACTAATACGCCATAAGAAGGTTAAGTGCAAAATTGTGTGTCTTGTACACAGGTAACAAATTGTGGTCTAGTCCTGAGGAGATCGTTGGGATATTATTGCAGTGCAAGTAATGCACAACAGAAAGTACAAGCACAGAAGTATTGTGCATCCTTGAAGATGATGGAATGGACACAAGCCAATCCCCCTGACTCATATCAGATACCAGGAAATTGTGATTTACAGCACTGGAACCAAATTGATATAGGAACTCAACATGACTTGATCTTTGAAACTGTACCCTTGTAGATGCAGCAAGATGCAGCACACAAGAACAACACAAGTGTCTGATATCAGGATAAGAAGAAATGGCCTCAAGATGCACCAGACAGGATATAGATTGGATATTCTTCATGGGAAGGGTTATCAGGCATTGAAAGAGGCTGCCCAGGGAAGTGGTGTAGTGACCTTCTGTGGGGGGATTTAAAATGTCTGCAAATCTGGTTCTGAAGGATATGGTTTAGTGGTGGACTTGGCAGTGCTGAGTTAACAGTTGGACTTGATAATATCAAAAGTCTTTTCCATCCTAAAGGATTCTATGGTTATCTGTTCAGTACTTCATCACAGTCCATGGACTCACTGCCCCTCATGTACAAATCTATGCAATTCCATTGCACAAGTCTCAAAGGCATTGAACAGAATATTTTTTTCCCACTCAACCAAAAATGTACCACTGTAAACTCCAGCAGTATTGTATTTTGGAACTGAAAATCCTTGTGAAACAGTATAATTCAAAATTTTTAAGTAGCAAGTGTATTACATTTTGGAATGCAGTAACTAAATACAGATGTTCAGATTCCAGTTGGGGCACTTGAGGCAATTTTTCCTGATATGTTCTGAAAACAAACCCCAGAACAAAAAAAAATTTATATGAGAACCAGCAGAATAGAATGTCTGAGTACACTCACATTTAAGAAATCGTCCATCACCAGATGGGTTTGTTCCAAGCAAACTGTGGACTCCAAACAGCCAAGCATCTCAGGGTAGGCATAGTACTAAATAGAACACATTCTGGGAAACTTCCAAACTAAGAAGCAAAGACAATGACTGAAGCTTGGGGACTTCTCATCATCACAAAAACATTTGAGTACAAAATCCCACTGCATTTTGGCATAAAACACTGAAGATGGTTTACACATACTCAACTTATCCTCAAAGTAGCACAACTGCTTTGGTGACAGTGGAGAACCTGAGATATCAACGTGTTGCAAAGAAAAACTTCTGTCACACAGAATTTTTGATAAAAATGGAAGAGGTAGCAAGGAGCACAGCTGAAAAATGCAGTATGTCGACACACAACCAAAAGAAACAGAGTTAGATATGAAACACTTTTATAACAAGCTGACTACTGACAACGATACAGAAAGTAGGTGACAGCATTTCAAAGTCAAGACATTCTACATACTTGTTGATGTGTTTACAACACAGATGAAAGAGCAACTTCAAGATTTCACAGAGACATTCAGTCTGACATGTTGACATTGATAAAGTTTTTAAAACATCTTCTCATATAAAGCCTCAAAGAAAACTTTGTAATTTGCATATTTAGTCCAGCTATTCACTAATAAACTCTTTCATGTTTTAATTCAGACCATACAGACCTACTGGTAAATTTTGGGTTAAGATGTTCAGAAGAGGACATATACATTTAAATACACAAAGAAAAGATGGAATGATCACTGGACTTTGTCTACAGAATAATTCAGGGTGTCATAATGGTCTGACAATTCTGTGAGTCTTCTTTGGAAGGTGGTATGTGTGTTTTCTGCTGGAACATTCTGTAGAAAACTGAAAGCCCTGGCTTCTTATATATTTCTAAAGAGGACTTGAGAATATATAAAATAGTCTAGGCCAGCATTATAAAGTATGGTAGGGTTCCCCCTTCTAATTTTAGCAAACAGCATTGTAGTATTCACTCAAGATCCCTTCCCTTTCTGTGAAGTGATTTCAGTCCACATCTCCCATCTCATGAGTGAAAGCTCCAGTTACTCCATTATTGGGTTTTGTGATTCAAGCCTGCACCAGCTCTTTGAGGGTAAAACCATGTAATGTTGTATGGAATAATTAAACCTTATGTAGAAATAGCACATATGTTCCAATACCACAGTTTGACTCAGGAAGACCACCTTAGACTTGTGAGACACCTTCCCCCCCCCCCCCCCCATATCAAATCACTGCATTCCCCTAGCTACAAGAGAATACAGCCATTTGTGCTCTTGTCCAAATGTTTATTTCACACAAAGTAATTAAACCCACTATATTTGGGAACCAAATACCCACTATAAATAAGCAAAGTATTTCTAGTGACATCAGTGATGTTTGGGATCACATTTGCAAGAAAAGCCAAAAAGTCAAATCACTATTTAAAAGTGAAAATTTGTTCTCATGCTAATAACATTGAATTGCAGGAGTGGATTTTATATAGGTCTTTAAACTGTTTAATTTATTATGAAAGAAACTAAAGATTAAAAACCCATGCCTTATCAGAATGTTTCTGCAAGTCATACAAACTGACAAAAAATATCAGCCTAACCTAAACTATTGCTGTAGCATTGCTAAATGTTACAAAGTGTGAATTTCAAGCATTCAGTAGCCATTCATCATTCTTTGTACTTATTTAAGTGTTGTGCTTTCCTGTTAAACAAGCTAGATTTGCCACATCTAGGCAAATTACTTTACCATTTGGTCTTCATAAGCTGACCACAAAATACCCAATGTGAAAATAATTTTTTTCATGACCAGTCTTGTTTTCTTTGTTGAGAAGTTGCTGACAGATAAAATTCTCATGATATTCAGACAGTATTTTTATTTTTATATAAAAAATAAAAATACAGAAATCCAGCTCTTGTCACCTTGTTTTAGCTCTTTCTTCTGACTACCTCTGCAGAGCCAGAATGGTATGACCAAGGAGGCTGTAAGAATCCCCGAAGTGAGCTGCTCCATGCAAAAAGCCATTAAAGTTCACTAAGACACACCCTTTTTGAGACCTGTAGCTTTTACTTTTCCCTCCACCCTTCTGTTTTCTCCAAAGTGTGACCTATGGACTACATTCACAGTCTGTGCATAGACTGTGGAAGCAGAGGGATTTGAGGTAGAAACATTTCCTTGGGCAATAGAAGTGGTAACAGCAGGAGTACCAAGGAAAACAAAGTGTTAGGATAAATCTCCTCCTAACAAAAAAAAAAAAAAAATCACAAAAAAGGTGTTCCTCATATTGTATGTGTATGGGGAAGAATCTTTATCACTTGTGCTGCACAAGGTATAGAATATACATTTACAGAACTCCAGAATTAACTAAAACCCACAGTATTTGTTAAAAACAATAGTAATTAAAATCTAGAGCATGAGCAATAGAAATGCACTAAAATGTTAAGACAAAGCCCAGTAATCATGCAGTTTTAGAGCACAAATTTACCATGCTGTCAGTCAGAGCTGAGAGCTCTGCAAGGCGCTCCAGCCACTGCTTTCCAGACACCAGAAGAGAGCAGAGGCACAAGGCAGTTATCCTGATGGAGCGGAGATCCATCACCACAAGAACAACTCTGCAATAAAACAGGAGACAGCAGAAAAGCAGAGGAAGTTTATTCAAAAACAAACAAACAAAAAACAAAACAAAAAAAAGCCACCACCAAACCAACCAACCAAAACATAGGAAAGGTCTCCAAGAGTGGCTGGGGCTCCTGGGAGGGGCATCTAGTCCCTGAAGCCCCAGCTTCTGTAGCACCTGCCTAGGTCAGCACCAAAAGAAAGATCTGGTTACATTTACTTACAGGTATTTCATGTTTCAAAAGTAAATTTCTATTTCTCCAAATGTGTTCCAAGCTTTTAATCAAGGCTGTCACTACCGCTTCTTGTTATCTGTTACCCAAAGACTAAAGGGGATTTGTCATTAGCTCAGGGTGTGTATTGTGTCTATTTCAAGGGTTGGAAACACAGCTGGGGTGTCACCTGGTCCTTTTTATCTGATACTGAGGGCATGAAACATGCCTCCAGCACTAAACAGAGACCCCCAGACATGGGAAGTCCAGAAACACAACCACACACATGTACTAGCACATATCATTCTAAGACTATAAATTAATCTACAGTAATTATTTTAGGGAACAAGACAGCACAATTTCTCCTGTGAAATTACCACTGCAGCACATTCAGCCTGAAATCAGCATTTTAGCATTATTCCTTTCCTACCAATTAAACAGTTTTTCAATGTATCACTGAAAAGC